ATAATGAAAAGTTCATATTGGGATAATATTTATTGTAAATGTCACCTATTTCATGTTATAAAAATTTACTCTTATCATTAGTATAGAAAATAGAATTATTGATTGATCTATTAATTATGGTATTCTCAGTGCTATAAAAAGTTGAAAAAAAAAAAATTAGTTGAAAATCACAGAACGGAAAGAAAAAATAAAAAGTAATCAATAATTTTGCCTGAAAACCGGAAATTGAATCATTTTTTGCGTTATAGAAAATCATTTCGTACACAACAATGCAAAATTTTTTCTTTTTTCAAATTATTTCTCTATTATTTACATATATTTGCTTTATTTATAATTTGAATGATATGCAAAAATTTATATAAAATGTAATTAATTAATTACAAATAAAGGAATTTCACTAAACACAAACATTCCCACACATTTTGTGCATTCATTATCATTATATCATATATGCAAATGAACAATTCAATTGATAATCTGGAAACTTTTTTAATTAATATTCATGAAATTAAATACTAAATTTTGCTAAATGAATAATTTTATCCAATATTTATTAATAATTGATCAATTAATCAATCATCCAATCAATTATTTATGTAATTGATTATCAGATAGCAAATCATTTTGTTGTATAAAAAATTTTTAAAAAGAAAACGATAATTAGTATTCAATCTTTTTTATTTTTTTTTTAAATGGATGAAAATTTCATGTTGTGAGATATTTAATTGAGGAATAATGCTTGTCGTCATATGGGTTTGTTTGCATAGGAGGATGATTTGAAAGCGTTGTCATCCGGTTTTGTCCCCCAACGTAATTGTTGTCATATCATCATTGTCATTGTTCTTTTTAACGGCTGATGTGACGATTGCGCGTTAATTTTTACCAGTTAATTATCCTAACAATCCTTTCTTGATTTTTTGATAATGATTATCATTTCTGGTAATTCTATTGCCAAACAAAATTACTGTAAGCATTTTAATTCTTACTATTATCATTATCATTAATGTTGTTATTATTCTTATTATATTTCTTTAAAAGTATATTAAAATTGTTAAATTGAATATAACATATTGAATATATTACAATTGTATATTAGTTATGGTGATAATATTCTTGCAAAGTAGTGATAATATTCTTATCATGATCAGTTATAATGATAAGATATATATATATATATATGTGTGTTAAATCAATCAAAATATGATTATTTTTACTAACAATGGCGTTAATCATTATGACAGCAATAATTATTGTAATATGTAAAAATAATAACTACCAATAATGAATTTTAATTAATTAATCCAAAATTGAAATTATTATTTTATATTTAAATTACAATAATTATAAGAAAAAGGAGGAAAGAATGAATTGAATGATTCATCGATAGTTATCAGTTCGTTTTCTTTTTCATAAGAATAAAAAAAAAATTTTTTTGTCTCTTTGATTTATGAATAATTCGTTGTTGAAATTTTATGCTTTTTTTTAATATTTAAACATTAAAATTTCATTTTGACAATAAAATAATATAATTCTGAAAGGTTTTTGTTGTTGTTTTCCTTTTTTTTTCTAAAGTTAACAAAAATTTTTTTTAAAGTTTCATTATTTCAATTAGATTATTCAATTGTTTCCAACGAAACAATTGAATAATTGTTTTGTTTTTTGTTTATTTTCCTTTTTGTTTTTTGTTTGTTCTTTTTTTGGCTTGTTTACTTTTTTATTTTTTGTTTATTTTTCTGTTTGTTTTTATTTTTTCTCTTTTTCTTTTCTTTTTTTTTGAAAAGAACACTTTGATTGTTGTCGTCGCTGTTATAATAATTGTGATTATATATTTTATATTATTAAAGTAATTGTTTTTATATTATCAAATTTTGAATATTTTTGACGAAATTTCTATCAAATTTTATAATTTTTATCGATATATGTATATATATGTGCATAAAATCAAATTACAATTGTATATTGATTGTATTAATCATTATCATAATTATTTCGATATTGTATTATACGATTACATCGATTTCAGATTATATCTATTGATTATTTCTTATTACAGCCGTCTTGCAACAATTATAAACGACATTTTAATCCTTTTTTTTTTTTGTCGCTATCAGACATTGCTAATATGGTATTATCTATACCAGGCCAGAATTGTATTTCATTTTCTGAATGCCTAAAAGCTAAGTATTAATTTGGGAATTGATTATTTTTTAATATTCCTATTATTACTATTTAAGTTAATTATCATCTATAAGAAAAAAAAAGAAAATCATCATTCTTACTGAATAATCACGATAAATAACGAATATTATTAATTTCTTATTATCTACTATTACTATTACTGCTAACTATCACAAAATACTACTATTAATACTACTATTACCACTACTATTACTACTATATTTACTGTCACCATAATTATTATGACAATGTATATGTCATCTGATGCAATTGATGCATATAGTATTGCGACATTAGCCGGTGCACCATATGCGCAACTATTATCACAATCATTATTTACATGGCCATTAATATTTGTCCTATTTACTTTACCAGCAGCAAATTTACTTATCAATTTAGGCTATGTTTCGGGTGCTGGACCTGTACTAACATTTGCTCGTATTGCACCAATTGCTTCCGGTAAATTTATTATAAGTCAATCAATAAATTGTATTTTTAAGCATTACTGTACTTTTTCAGATTGATATATTAATATATTACAATCATTAAAGATTATATTGTGCAAATTATAATTAATAATAATTAATAAAAAATTTTTCTATTTCTTTATGTTTAACACTTTTATATTTATAGCAGTATATATTTTCTTCCTACAATTTTCAAATTTTAATTTTAATAATGTAAGAATCAAAAAAAAAGTACAAACAATTTTTTTTCTAAAAATTTTTAAAAATTAACAATTCGATTTTTCAAATTTTTTGAAAAAAATTCCAAATATAAGTTTATATTTAATTGCCTGAATTCAAATTTTTATTTTGGTAAGTAAAATAAATTTTCCTTTTTTCTTTCTTTTCTTCCTTTCTCCGTCTCTCCTTCCCTCTCTCTCTCTCTCTCTCTCTCTCTTCTTCTT